CTGTTCTTAAAAAATCTCATCCTTTTCACTTATTCTAGGCCACAAAACCAAATCCAAGCCTTCTCCAATAAACCAACCTATATCCTCTTTGTAGTCTTTAACCTTATATTGCTGTTCAAATAACTTTTATATGCTGATTTTGTCTTTGATGTTGCTGCTTAAGAACAGCGCTATTTTATTTTGAATCAAAACACAATGCTCCTTTTGTCCTTTCAGGTCTCCACCAATCAACATCCCCCCTGCGCCAGCCTTATTCCTCATTGTCTGGCCAAGCAGATCTCATTGGCTTGTTCTCACTTCCTTTGTACTCTGTGCTTCTCTTATCTGAATGCCCTCTCTCTCCTCCCCACCACTCTATATTCCCTTCCTATTGGAATCCAATTCACATTCTTTGAATTAATACTCTCACTTTATGGTTCAATATTTATTTTTACTCTGTCATCCCTGTATTGAATTTGCTCTAACTTGCATGTTTCTTTCCCAACTTCATTTCAAGCTGGTGCAATGTAGACACTCACCAGCTCTCTTCTATATCTTCTTAATGCTCCTTCACTCTATAATGCCTAGGATAAGACATGGCACGTGGTCAACTAACTTAAAGTGGGTAAGACGAGATGCTGAAACTCAAGTGTCCGCATTTGCAGTTACTAGTAGCCCTGGTTTAGGTTTATGGGAGGGAGTGTGAAAACTCCCACCTAATAAGGGTTTGGATATTCATAACTAGTCATCTGTGCCAACTGTTTTGTGATACTGTCCCACTAACAGTTAGGGCACTGCCCTTATTGTGCCTTTATCTTTCACAACAAAATGTATTACTCGACAAAACTGAGACAGTGGAATAATATCTACTCCTGTGTATATACATGTATCTTCTTTTTAACGTGGGCCTAAAGCTAAAGAAAATTCCACTCAGGTTGTAAACAGAAAAAAAAAAAATTACCCCAACTTTGATCATTATTTCCAAGGCTCCCCGAAATAAAATAGAGTCTGTTTGTTCTTAATTTTTGTTTATGATTTAGTGATGTCCTATAGAATATTTTAATTTCAAAAAAGCAGTGAATAACAGATGTGGTACAAGGCCCTGAAAGGGAGAAATGGGTTAGAGAGAATCAGTAAAACTAAAAATATACACCACCAGGCTTCCAAAGCAAAGCCAGCTATAATAGAAGGAGCAAAAAGCATTAGGGGAAATCTGTTTCATTTCATCCTGGCACTGGGGCAAAGAAATTTTACTTCTTTATTTCTTGTGAGGAATTTGACTTTGTTAAAGCAGTATCTTTATCTTTCCCATACTATTAAAAATTGTATTTCAAGTGTTAAATATTTAAGACAAATTAAATTTAGCAGAGTTTATTTGAGCAAAAACCAATTCACGAATTGGGCATTCCTCAGAACTGGGAGAGGTTCAGAGAGCTCCACCCAACAACGTGGGCAGGCAGTATTTATAGACAGAAAAAAGAAATGACATACAAAACCAGTTTTTTTTTTTTCTCTTTTTTAAGAAATGGGGTCTTGCTCTATTTCCCAGACTGGAGTTCAGTGGTAGATCATACCTCACTGTATCCTTGAACTCCTAGACTCAAGTGATCATACATACCACCTCAGCCTTCCAAGTAGCTAAGTCTACAGGCATGTACCACTACCTCTGGCTAAGTTTTTTTTTTTTTTTAGAAATGGGGTCTTACTATGTTGCCCAGGCTTGTCTTGAACTCCTGACCTCAAGTGATCCTCCCACCTCAACGCCACCAAAGTGCTGGGATTGCAGGTGTGAATCACTGTGCCCAGCCTAAAAACAGCTTAATTGGTTACAGCTCAGCATTTGCTTAATATGGACATGCTCTGATCAGTTGGCAGCTGGTGATTGGCTGCAGCTTGGCTGCTGTGATTGGCTGAGGCTCAACTACTTGTTACAAGAATATACTCTTGGCCTGGCACAATGGCACGGGCCTGTAGTCCCAGCTACTCAGGAGGCTGAGTTGGGAGGATCACTTGAGCCCAGGTGTTTGACGTTATAGTAAGCTATGATTGTGCCATTGCACTCCAGCCTGGGCAATAGAGTGAGTCTGTAAGACCTAAAATATACTCTTAAGTTAGTTTGCACTTTGTTTACACACTAAGTTAGGTTGCAGTTTGCTCCGTCCAGAAGCAGCTTTAGGCTAAATTTAATTCAATTTAACGGGAGTTCTGTCATCAACACCAATCTGTAGATTCTTACAATTAAATCTGTGCTTGTCCACAGTTCCTTATCTGTGGAACCCAAAAATCTAAAGAGCTGCGAAAACTATTTTTATAACCCTTGGTGGCAGAATATCACCTAACTTAACCTGAATGAATTTGCTTGCAAAACCAAATTGACAAAATTTTTAATTTTTATTTATCCCACTTGTAGTAAATATTCATACATTTGGCTGCTGAAATAATGTCGTGTACAGGACTAAAGTTTAGACCCTTTGGGCATGTTATATATTATATGGACCTATTATCTGACTAAAATTCAAAATTTTCTGAAATTGGAAATATATCTGGACTCAAAGATTTAGGATTAGTAATTGTGGATCTGAACTCATTTATTCCTTTGATTTTATGAGGAAGACATTCTAAATTATGTACTATTATGTTGAAAATATTTCTTTAATACCTTGCAGTTTCTGAATGTCTCCACCATGAAGGAAGTAGCTAAGGTTAGGTTTTAAAAAAGAACAACTCTGGGTATAAATTATACAAAGGGACTGAAAATACTTTAAAACATGATGAAAGTCAAGGAGCACAGTTCAGAAGTCGGGAATGTGAAGATTTTGGCCAGGTGTGGTGACTCATGTCTGTAATCTCAGCACTTTGGGAGGCCTTGGTGGGGAGGATCGCTTGTGGCCATAAGTTCGAGACCAGCCTGGGCAAAATGGCAAGACCCTGTCTCTATAAAAACAAAACAAAATAATGTGAAGATTTTTGTGTATTTTATTCCTTAACTAATATATTGGTTTGCTGTACAAATATATATGTATATAAGAAATATATATATAAGAAATATATATACACACATATACATATAAAATGCATATATGTATGTGTGTGTATCATGCCCTACTCTCAGATTAGATCATAGTAGTAGCAAAAAAAGATGGTTGTTATAGATGTAAACACACACACACACACACACACACACAATCTCCACCTAATAGATTCTGTTGGCCACCTAATTTTTCCAGTGTAATTATGGAAAACTAGGACTTTTCAATATTTTATCCAGTAGAGTTGTTGGAATAAAATTTGTATTGGCTCTCAATGTATAGTGCCAACTTCCTGAGAGGATGGGTTTTGGATAGTTACTATTTAACTGAATAATTCAGAAGGAATCTGAGTTATACACAAAGCCCTCTCTGTGTGTTGGGAGTAGAGCAAATAAGGCACAAGTCCTTTGCTCTACACTGGGCTGTGATGCCCAGGGAGCTCTACCTGCCCTCGTCAGGGAGAAAGGCTGACCCATTGCCGATATGAAGAGGGCAATGCATGAAATTTGGACAGTCAACATTTACTGAGGGTCCACCAGGTACCAAAATCTGAAGCAGAAACTAGGAGCTGCTACAAAGTTGTTGGTAGGCAGAAGAGCCCTTCTCTGCAAGAACTTCTAAGCAGAGAACAGGGCAACCACATATTCAAGGAGTCATCTAAGGTATATTAATAAAAGACCATTGATAGTGTTATTGTAACCCAGCTCTATGAACAAATTTGAATGACCCTCTATATGTTTGTTATTATATAATTCTCTCTGCCTCACATTTTACCTTCTTACGCCAGTAAGGCATGGTGACCGGAACCCTTAACTACTTAACCCTTCTGAGTTGTTTCCCAGGAAAGGCAAAATTTCTGCAAGACAAGGAGCTGGGATTTTGAAGGCCCCTGGGCAGCCTTCCTGACACCAAGACTGGTCACCCCCACAATCTGCCCCAGTGCATGTAGCCCCACCTTAAAAGCCCCTCCTTAAAAGGCCCCATATGCTCCAATAGTCCGGGAGATGGATTTGAGGCTGCTTCTCCCATTCTCCCAACAAGATATCTTTCATATCAAAAATTCCTTTCTTCCTTGGCAATCCTTGTTGTCTCAATAATTAGCTATCTGTGTAGCAAGTACACTGACCTAGGCTGAAACCCCCTCGCAGTTTTGATAACATTATTAATATGCATTATGAATTCCAAATATAATAACATATCCAAATGAAAACTATCAAACCCTGAACTTGCTGAAGACACTCTGCACCTTTATCAGACCCAGGCTTTTACGTATGGGGGCATGTACTGCAGAATGTGTTCTTTATGAAGGTTAAGATGCTGCGATGGGAAAAGGACTACAGAACATAGCTACATTCCCATCGAAAATTGGTGCCAATCAAAAGATGAGGTGATGACTTGTGGTAAATGAAGGACTGGTTCTGGAGCCTTGTGGGACACAGAGAGACATGGAGTTCCAATACCACATCCTGGCAGTTCTTGAAAACACTTCACTGACTGTATCGTGGCCATTATTTTGGAGCATGGGAACCCTTTGGCTTTCTAAGCGAAAAAGCCAGAATTTTTATATTTCTTTGCCATGACGTGAAAGGGGTTAATGATTTCTTTCTCCAGAAGTCTGTGGCCCTTGCAAATGGCACAGAGAGGCCAGGTCTTGCTTCCCCATGAATGCAGAAGCACCGTTTGGAAACAATCTCAAGACCTCCTAACGGAAAACCCATGCTTCTAATTTAAGTGTGAGACAGTAATTACTCATACAGCCAGGGAGAGTTCCAAGACCCTGCCTACTTGCAGCACTGTCTTAAAACAATCAATTCATCTTTCAAATCTGACCAAACTACAAATGGTATGAGAACTGTCGTCTAATAAGGATGTTCATTTTGGCACTCAGCAGCTTACGCATGGCTCACAGATGGCTTCTGTCTCGTTTTGTGTAATCCAATTATCCTGCACTACCGCGTCTCACACTTAGTCTCCAGGAGTAATTGAAAAGCTCACAGTGACAATTGTCTCTTCTTCCAGATGTCCTCGATATAAAGGAGTGGGGCTTTCATCGCCTCCTTGACGCAGGATGTGGACATGGCTCTCCAGGTCAGAGTTGCTCCAAGCAAGGTAAAAAGAAATTTCTTCTTTGCATTGCTTTTCAGTTGCTGCCTAGCACCAGCGTAAATGAATATGTTCTATAAATGGCCTCTTTGTCAGTGGGCAACTTGTTTCACTTTTGGCTGGATACCCTACAGAAAACATTCTGCCGCACTGCTTGCATCTTGCGGTAATGTGGCAATATAGAGGCGCCCATGCCCAAGAAAGGATTCTAAAACGTTTAAATAGTGGCTGTTTCCGAGGTACCATTTCACTAGAGAAGTAAGCTCTCTAGTATTAACACCTGCGCTTCTCCTGTGGTTTCTCTGAAATCACGACAATTTGTTCTCAATCTTTTTTTTTTTTTTGCAGGGAGTGGCTTTTATTTTTGTAACTTCTAAAGAGTGTGCACGATTTTAAGGGCAGAGTAGTGAAACATTTTAAGCTGTAGGTTTGTTAGTTTCTTTCCCCCCTGAGGCTAGTGTTAATAGTTGTGTTTTATTTCAGTGTAAAAATACCCCTTTAAAAAAAAAAAAAATCAAAGGACGTGAAACAAGGAAATATGCAAAACCTCAAAGCAGCTGTGTAAATTCACACAGGCTTTGGGCCTGCAACGAGCTAGACTTAAGGGAATGACACTGGAAACTCAGATTTTTGCTTAAAAATTAAATTACGATTATGAATTAGTGCTACCATCATTTTAGTAAAATATCGGCACTATATGTATTTCCTGAAGCTTTTCTGTGCATTGCCATCATCACCACAGATGTCATCAGTAAAAAATGTTGAGCATGGCAATAGCTAAGTAAAATTGTCAAGGAAGAATCAGTAAAAACATTATTTCAGGGAAGATATTTTTTAAAAAACTTTATTTTTAAGAGGATTTTAAACTGTTCATAATTTATATATAGTTTTAGGATTGAACTAGCAATAATAACTCCTGCTGGAGAGATAAAAATTAAAAGATAACATCCTTTCTCTTAAGTAGCTTACACAAAGAATGGGGACTCTATATTTAGTCTGGGCTTACACACACACACACACACAAACACACACACACTCATTGCAGCAGAAATATCTGGATAGTTGCTGCAGTTCTTCACTATTTTGGAATCCCAGAGCTTTATACATAGAATCACAACCTTAGAACATTAGACCAATAGTGAGTATGTTCCAAATAGGTGAGTTGTTGAGAATCTGAATTTTCATGATACATCCCTGTGGGTTATTCATTTACACTTCTCTTAAGTCCTTGTTCATTGTCAGTATTATCAGCACAAGAATTACTGATATGCTCATAAATTAATAGTAATAGCAAAAGTGACCTTCGTCTAAAGATAAGTCTAAGACTCAACAAACATTTATTGAGTGCATGCAATGTGCCAGGCAGTGGGCTAATTAAATCCCCCTTATCTCTACACTTTAAATGAGAAAAAAGCTGACTCAAGGGAAAGAGTTATGACCAAAGGCCATTTAATTAATTTTCTGTCTGGGGAAATAGCACAAGAACTGGGAAGAAAGCCCAGGTATGAGGACTGCTAAATTATTGTTCAGAATACAATATAGTCTACTCCAGTAGAATACATGTTTCCTAACTATAGTAAACTAATATAAACTTCCCTCTATGTGTAAAAATCTCAGATGTACAACACATTCCTGCATTTTCTTGGAGTCGTTCACCTGAACTAGAGAATTTCATCCACACAGGCAATTTCAAAGGGAACGACTATCGGTAGGCTAGCCCCTGTGCTGTGATCCTACAGCTGAGAGAGCCATTATCTCATGATTTCTGTAGGACTTGTCCAAAGATCTAAAAAGCAGGCTTTCCCACGGGGGGAAATGGAAGGGAAAGTGTTATCTGTTGAGCACATGTGGTACTTAAGGCTAGAAATTTCCCAACGTGTTCTGAACACAAAACCCCTGTGAAATTTTTACCTATAGAACAAAACTCAGAAAGTAATGAGCCAGTGTCACACACCTGTCAGTGAGGAACTGGGAGAGAAACCCCAGTGTACCTGATGCGGAGTCCACATTCCTTATTAATAGGGGTTCCCACTGGAGAGGTCTTTGATTATATTTTTCCTTCCTTCCATCATTATTATTCAAAATGTATTAATTAAATACCTACGAAGATACTTGCTGCTTTGCTTTAGGTAAAAAAGAAAAAAATAATAAATAAATAAATACCTACGAAGGGCTAATCAGTATTTTGGGGTCTGAAGAATTAAACATGATTAAATCAGCGTCTTTGTCTTTGAGAGGCTGGAGAAATGAGCATCTTCCATAAATAAATATGCTTCAACACCAATGTGGTCAGATCTGTAAGACATATATATATATAATGCTATAGAAGAAAAAAAATGAGGAGTAGAGGAGCTAGGCATGGTGGTTTATGCCTGTAGTCCCAGAGATTTGGGAATCACCACTGCAGTCCAGCCTGGGCGACAGAGAGAAACCTGTATCTTAGAACAAAAGGGAGGAGGGATTAGGAGAGTGGGGGTGCTATCATAGTAGGGGTGGGATAGGAAGATGACATATGAGCTAGACCTTGAGAATATACAACTATTTGCCCTGCAAAGAAGAGTAAAAATATTGTAGGCAATGGGAACATTCTGCTTTGCAAAACCACATAAGCTTCCAATTTTCACAGAATAAGCAGAGAAAGTTATTTTAAAAGGACTAGGCCCACATTTCATAGGGGAATTCTCTTAAGTCTTCAAAGATCATATACTCTCAATGCTACTTAAATCATTTCTGAGTATAGAAAAAGAAGAAAAGCCAGAAGATATTTTTATGAAACGAGAATTACGTTGTCACCTAAACCATATAAAGATAGTGCAAACATAAACTACAGATCAACTTCACTTATGGAATATGGAGGTAAACATTGAAATAACATATTAGCAAACAGAACCCAGAGCTTGTCATAAAAATAAAACATCATGACCAAGTGACATTTATTTAAAAAATGTAAGCATGATTCAAAAACAGGTTATTTACTAACATAAATTACCGTGTTTGTAAATCTAAGTAGAAAAATCATACGATCATCTTCATAGATGCTAAAACTACCTTTGATAAAAATTGACAACTATTCCTGATTAAAACACTAAATAAAATAAGAAACTGATGATTTCTTCTTTAGTGTTAATATACATCTACAACATGCACCACATTACAGTCTTAAAGCTGGTTTATTACTTACTGGGGAATACTAGAGGTGTTCACAGAAAGGCCAAGAACAAGGCAAAGATATCCACTAACTTCACTACTGTTTAAGAATATATTACAGGTACTAGTCAGTTCATTCAGACCAGAATAAACAAAAGAATTGAAATAGAAGAAGTTAAACTATATCTATTTACAGGTGATATTGTAGTATACCTGGAAAATTCAAGAGACTCAATGAAAACACTAATAAATAATAAAAAAGTAAGATAATAGACTACTAAATTAAAATACAAAAATCAGAAGCCTTTCTATACACAAACAATAGCTAGTTAGATGGTGTCATGGAAGATAAAACTACAGTTACATTAGTAGCAAAAGGAGAATTTATTTAATAATGTAACCGTGTGTAAAATCTATATGAGGAAAAATTAACATATAGAAAGAAACAAAAGTATACTTGAATAAGTTTGGAGACTTTTGGTTTTGCATAGCATGAATAAATGTTATAAAGCTATCAATTATTTCCATTTTAACAATAAATTTAGCATAATCACAATAAAAATAGCAAAGTTGATTTATGGAGCTAGTCAATTAGATTTTGAAGTTTGTAGGGAAAAAATAAACATAAAATAGCCATGAGAATTTTACAAACAAAAAAGAAAGAAAGAAAAATGAGAGGTAAGTAGCCTTCTAATGTGTTTTTAAATCAGTTTTATTGAGGAGTAAATTGATATACAAAAATTACACATATTTATTGTATACAAGTTCATAAGTTTAGACATATGCAAACACCTGTGACACCATTGCCATAGTCAAGGTAACAGACATATTCATCACCTCCAAAGTTTTCTGTGCCTCTTTGATGGTTTTGTATGAGTGCATGTGGTAAGAACACTTAACATGAGCACTAACCTCTTTAAAAATGCCTTCTCAGATATTAAAACATGCTACAAAGTTTCTGTAATTAAAACAGTATAGAATTATTGATTCATGAATAGATAGAAGGATCAATGGAAGAGAATAAAATGCTTAAAAATAGACAAAAGTGTATGTGAAAATACAGCAAGGAAAAAGGTAATATCTCAATGGAATGTTAGAAATCAAGGAAGTACAAAAAAAGATGGGAACATGTAGAAAGAACACAGGCAGTGTCTTGTAGGTGCTAAAACTGGTCAAATTTGGGATAATTTTAGCCTCAACAGGAATCCTATTAATGAATTATGACATGTAAAAAATAAAAAAAGACTATCAGTTATCATGAATAAATAATAAATATAAATACCTAAATTTATACATTAGTTCAAGGGTAATAAAGGAAATCTCTTTATGGAAGAATGCCTACTAAAATGTAGAAGAAAAAACAAAATGATAAAATCATTGGTCTACAAAAGCAATGTAAATAATTGATTCAGACTATATATGTCAATGGATGCTAAAAAAATTAGGGAAAAATTGTGAGGGAACAGATTATTTACATAGTTTCAAGTACGACGTCACAGATTACTAATTAATTACAAAGGATACACAGTACAGTTAACATAGAGAGATCTGGCAGATATCACTTTTACCAAGTGATCAAACTGACCATCACAAATAATGACACAAAGTCATATTATGGGCCGGGCGTGGTGGCTCACGCCTGCTATCCTAGCACTTTGGAAGGCCGAGGCGGGCGGATTGCTCAAGGTCAGGAGTTCGAAACCAGCCTGAGTGAGACCCTGTCTCTACCAAAAATAGAAAGAAATTAATTGACCAACTAAAAATATATATACAAAAAAAATTAGCCGGGTATGGTGGTGCATGCCTGTAGTTCCAGCTACTCGGGAGGCTGAGGCAGTAGGATCGCTGAGCCCCGGAGA